TAGAGAGAGAGAGAGAGAGAGAGAGAGAGAGAGAGAGAGAGAGAATGAGATCTTGGAAAGGAGATGAGAAGTGGCACCACAGCAGCACTCAAGACTTTGTACCGATGCACACAGGCTCTTAATAAATGCAACCCGACAGGCACAAGCATCTTTTTTATACTTGGCATGGAACCCACAGCACACAGTCTCAGCAGTTTCATGTACTCGTTGAAATGAGGTTGGGCCAGAGAGGGGGGGGAGGTGGCTCTGGGTTGAACTGCACACACATATAACTTGCTCGAGTGCAGCTCTCACGTCATTTGTCATGTGCAATATAGATTTAATTGTGCACGATACAAAATTATATTATGTTCTTTGAAGAGCACTTTTAGCCAACATTGGCAGCGGAGCTCTATTTCAAGTTACCGGAATCCATACCATTACTATTATACTGACATAATATGAAATTCACAAATAGTGGTTCAAATCAGACTTCAGAGATACTAGTCTTTGTGCGCAGGCATAGGTACACTCAATGATAGCCTCTTTTTAAAAAATAGTATGCAACAACACGAATATCATCATCATCATCATCATCATCATCATCATCATCATCATCATCATCATCATGTAGAACTAAGTACCAGCACCTGGAAGATGTGTATTCTGGGTACTCCAGGCTATAAGCGGGAACAAAAGTCTATCATATGTCGCTGTGACCAGGTTGAGCTAGCGAGACTGCGGTCGGACCATCATTGGAGTTTAAGATGGTATAAAAACTTTGTAAATGAAGAGCTCAGCCCATGTTGCCGAAGATGCGGCCATGAAAAGGAAGATGTCAAACATATGTTTGAATGTCCAGGAACAATGGCAATTCGAACGGAGTTATTTGGACGAGTGGAGGTGCCGTTAAGCATATTGACAATGGAGCCGAAAAAGAGCCTCGCTCTCGCTCAAAGATTTCTTCGTGGAGTCCATCAGGCCCATTAAGGACATTTTAAAAAATCATCATCATCATCATCATCATCATCATCATCATCAGCATCATCATCAGCATCATCATCATTGTTTGGTAAGCAGAGTAGGGGGAGAGTCGTAGGGAGCTGGCGAGCTTCCAAACTTCGTCATGTTGGTACAGCCGTCCCGAATGTATGGTACATGTACGTGTACCTACTACTACATCATGGGGGGACTGGTTTGGTATAGTCAGAGATAATAGATAATGGCTGCTGCAGACACACACCCTCTATCACTGCACCTAGCACAGAGTTCCCAGGCTTTTTGCCAGAAATAGTGTACTGTTTGCAGTTTATAGAGATATACCAAAACCATGGGGTAATGAAGTTTCTGAAGCTTTAAAATGGTTTGAATTCTGTTCCATATATGTATTTTGTATAATACCAATACGTCATTTTACACTAATAATAATTCTATTTGTTATATGCCTAAAATGAACATGATAGACTTTTGAATGTTTGTTTAGATTTTTTTGTTCTTGATATTATTTATTTATTTATTTATTTATTTATTTATTTATTTATTTATTTATTTATTTATTTATTTATTTATTTATTGGATGGGGGAAGGGTGGTTCACAAGACCTACAAAAGAAAACCTGCCTACTTCATGGTGCTCCCTCCCATAACCTCACTCACCCCAGGCAGGTCTGTGCAACTATCCTCGGCTTCCATTTTCCCCGAGAGGTGCTGATTTTTCACTTCTCCGAACTGGCAAATACGATTCAAAACCATCCTTAATCAAAATTTGCTATTGATAGCACTTTAAAAAAACCCAACTGATCAAAACATTAAGATCTTTAAGAAGATGATACTTTCAAGAATATAAAGTCTCAAGAAGTTCTTTGTCTTACCAGAGCGCGATAGTTTGCATGAGTCAGACCTATATATTTTTCAACGAATCAACTAACGAGCGCGATTTTGAAAGTTAGGGGGACATCTTTTCGTTGATTTTCTCAGACGTTCAATGCTTTATTCCATTTATTGCTTCTTAAGTCCTGGCTTTTTTATCTTGTCTCTATATCTGTTTCATCCGAAATCCGTTATCAGCGTGAGCAGTGACCCCTGACTCTTGTGCCCTAAGATCTGCCCCGCGTGGGTGGCGTGGGCTCTCTGTCCTTTACCGCCAGTTTCTTGTTCTCTGGTTATATTTGCTGCTGTCGCTGTTTTTGTTGCTGTTCTTGTTTTATTGTTATTGCTGCTATCGATGCTATACTTGCTATTTGTTCTAAGCCATTGCATTAACAGTTTTAACAAATCTTTTAGTGAATGGTATGACACACAGAATATCCACTCTCTAATCTACCTTTAAATTGAGCACTTTTTGGTACTTCCTCTGTCTTCTTTTCTTTTTTTTCACGAGAATTGTTCTTTCTCCTTTAGATAGATATTCTATAAAATGTTTCTGGAGGGTGTACCTTTCTTTTACTGCATTTTTGGAACTTCACCGTCACAATTTCCCAGGTTCATAATTTAAAAAGAACTTCAATTTATGAGTAGGCGCTAGGAGAGGTAAATGTGCGAAACTGATATTTCGCGCTTCTGCACGAAACTTTTTTTTCTGATGGTGTGAAGTGCGCGCACGTTCCAGATCTCGTCCTTCCCTGCGATCTCCCCGACTTTCTGCTCTCCGGGTACCTGTGACCTGACAATTCTCCCGTGCACTGAGCAGTTTGATGCGTGGGTCTGGGGCTGGGCACACTGCCAACTCATACCACCCTGTGCCACAACCAACCTCCAATGCTCCCTCTCTGACGTAGCCAAGAGCGCGTCTTTCTCGAGGCGTTTGTGCGTCTCATGCCCACTCTGTCTTTGCTCCTGTCGACGGAATTTTCCGTCCCAGCGCACGCTGGTCTGTGGCGGTGGCAGCCTTTCTGTTGTATAGTGCGTCAAGGTCCGCTCAATATACGTCACAGAGAAAGCAAAGATTGTGGAGGGAAGGGAAGGGGGAGAGACAAGATACTGTGATATGCCGACAGTAAGGTGGGAAAGAAGACAGACAATCAAGTTACATGCTAGAAGACACAGACAGATCAGAACAAAAAGGATATGAAAACATGGGAAGGGTGTTTTGGTGAGAAACAGAGAGAAAGAACGAAGAAGTAGAGATACGTGTTAAAAAAAAAGAAGGAAACTGAATCTGGGTCGTAGACGAAGCGAAATAACTAAATTAAGAAGGATAGCACGTAGAGAAAGAGATAGGCATAGTTGCGAAAAAAAAGAAGAAAAGATGTTAGGGGAGGGGGTAACTAAGGATGAGAGACAGTGAGAGAGAAAGATAGAGAAAGTGCGTGTTATTGTACGGTGTCTAATTAATGACATGATTTATGGCATTCCTGTGTATAGGCTAGTCCGATGGTATAGTGGCAGACACTGTTTTTCCACAGCTAGGAGTACAGGTACCGGTGGGACCCTCGTAAGAGATCTAGTGGTGCTGGAAGCTAGTAATGTTGGAAGCGTTGTGGAAACTGCTGAGCACATCATTTTTTTATTTTTTTTTTGGGGGGGGGGGTATCATTTGGGTCGGTGTGGGTTTGTTATCATTGTTGTTGTTGTTGTTGTTGTTGTTGTTGTTGTTGTTGTTGTTGTTGTTGTTGTTGTTGTTGTTGATAATGATGTTATATCTGTTTTGTGCTTTAGAATGTTGATGATTTTTTTGTTGTTTTTGTTTTTGTTGGCTTTTTGGGGGGAGGGGGGTTATGATGATGATGATGATGGTGATGATGATGATATATTTGCTTATGATTCATGCCGTTACCCCGGTATTTTTGTTGTTGTTGATTCTAACGTTTCTTTGAAATATGTACTGAAATCTCTGGAGTTGGCAATGACCTCATAGCTGAAAACGTTGAATGCGAAGAGAATACTAAAAAAACAGTAAAAAAAACAACAACCCACAAACAAACAACCCCCCCCCCCGCAAAAAAAGTAAATCATCAAAATATATTATTTGGATAGCATTGTTCAAAGGTAGAATAGCAGAGAAAAGCTATCGACATATTTCGAACGTGTCTAAAATGAAGGAAAACTATAATGTTCAGAGTTCTACTTTTCTCTTAACTTAAAATTGTGAGATCTCTAAGAGTTTGATCTTTGAGGTTACAATAAATCTTATTTCTGCTACATTCTTAGATTCAATTTGAAAAAGGTTTATTTTCTATTCCATGTAACTTTTCTTTATTATAACGTTAAAAAATTATGTTATGATATTAACGAAAAGTGTATCTTTCATGCAGTATGTTCACCATGGCGCTTTTAAACACGAATTTGGACATTGTCGAATAAGCTCCTCAAATACAAATGACATGATTTCAGAAAGAGGGTGTAGAGGAAAAGTGGCGTGTTGTATAGGATAACATGCCATATTATGCGCTCTCAAATGCTCATTCACATACGTAAACACGCATAAACAATTGCAATCACACTTACACCCACATATATACACTCACTCACATACAAGCAAATGTTGACCACTGCACATTTACACACTTGTCAACAAATAGACAATGAAAGGGGGGGGGGGGGCAACGACTGTAGCTTCCAGCTTCCAAAGAGGATATTTCTGAAGACAAATGATTACACGCCTACACACCCACCTACTAAAAACACATACCGCACTCCCCCTCCCCACCACACACAACACATAACCACATAGACCCTTAGGCAAACATAGACAGGGACAGGGAGACAGAGAACTTGTTGGACCACAGTGGGTTTACCTGAGTCTGCCTTTCCCACTCACCCGCTCACCCACCAATGCTACGGAGCAATGTGGACATGATTACAATAGCCCTGGACCGTAGCAAACATCCACCTAACCAACATACCAACCATGGCTTACCCTCCCCCCTCTCCCCTTTCTTTCTCCTTTTCCCTGTCCATTACAGAGAAGCAATATGCGGACTCTGCCTTCTATAACACACCTGGAAAGAGTTATCCAACCATCGACGAGCAGATGAAATTATGCAAGACAATCGCCCAATCGCTGACTTCCAACGCCAACAAACGGGCGCGCGGCGCCAAAATGTTCATGCGAAGGAAGCGGAAATCTAACAAATGGGTGCATGAGGGCCACAGCGAGTGGTCGAGCTCAGCGGGTGACGTAGCAAACATTCTGGAACTGGACAGCGAACTGAGTCCAGACGAGGGCGGGAACAAACCGCTCTTCTACTTCAAGATCCCCAATCTGAAGGGCCGCGCGGGAAAAGAGGGGAAACAAACCAAGATGGCGCTGACCCAGGATCAGTTTGAAAAGCTGCGGCTCTCGTCGAAGAAATGTGAGCATCGCAACGTGGCCCCAGACACATGTTTCGACATTGTTGCCGACCTCAAGGCCCATAAAGGCCGCGGGGGACGCATGTTCGAGAGGAGGAAGCAACGATCTGATAAATTTGTCATCGACGAGCAAAATGCTCGAGCGAAGATGCCGTCTGCTCGTCTGGAGAACGTGCTGTCTCAGCCCGTGCGTCAAGAGAAGACGCCCTGGGAGGCTGCCATGGCGCACGGCGGAAACGTGGACGCAGCTTTCAACCACCTCTCTGAGATGGAACGGAACCAGAAGCTGAATCAGATCCTGAAGTATTCGCCCCCGAAGAAACTGCAAACCACGCCCCTTCCGCCGGGCGTCCAATCAGCGCCTCTGCCGCATAATGTGTGCACGTCACTCAAAGGTGGGCCTGGCCCCACTTTGATCAAGGGGAAGGACTTCAACCGTACTGCCCGGGGATGGGGCGGAGGTGATGAATACCCAGTCGGTAAGGGCTTATCTAACTAAGAATACTAATTGCTCTAATTCGACAGTTTGTTATTTCTCATGTCGGAATCTGTGTGTTTGCTGCGACGTGTTACTTTTTGTGATGTTGTGTTTTTGAAAGGAAGCTTCTGGCGAGAGAGAGAGAGAGAGAGAGAGAGAGAGAGAGAGAGAGAGAGAGAGAGAGAAAGAGAGAGAGAGAGAGTGTGTGTGTGTGTGTGTGTGTGTGTGTGTGTGTGTGTGTGTGTGTGTGTACGTTTGTATGTGTTTGTGATTGTTGTGTTGCGTTGTGTGTGCACATGTGTATGCTTGTTAGTATGTGTTTGTTCGTGTTTGTATGTATATCCGCTATAACACAATTGTCTTTAACAGGACAACTTTGGGTGAAAGCACCTGTAGTTGACAGCATTATAAATACCCAGAGAGAAGTCTGAACGTATGTGGTTCAGAACGTGAATGAACTTGTGTGTCGTAACCGATGTGACACACATACCTGACAAATCGTTTGAGACACTCTTGAACTTTTGCAATCACCACCTCTTACGAATAATGAGTGGTGAGTATTACTCAGCAAACGTTAAACTCCGTCAAATAGGTGACGAGGTTTATGTGTTATCAGTATAGTTGTGGCTTTTTGTTCGACTCTTTTAACTTACTTCGTCTGTGTGTGTATGCGCCCACGCTTGTTTCTGTGTGCGAGTACGTGTTAGAATCCCAAGTCAATAGGTCGATGTGCGTGTGACCTCCCTCATATAATAGACATATTAGTATAGTATAGCTGAGTTAGCATGGTATTGGACTGCGGTGTCAAAACCCAAATTATCAAATTGCTCCGCATGTTGGGATAAAGGAGAGAAATTCGTGGTCTTCTTCGACCTTGTACTTTTAAATCAAAAGTCATGTTCCCTAACAAAAGACCCTACACTAAAGGACGAGTCAATTCCACACTATATCGGACCTGGCAATGCCGGAACAGCAGATAAACATCTGGTAGATTGTGTGCACCCCACAATTCCCGTACTGTATGTTTATACATTAGAACGTGTGCATGGACGGAATAATATTCTATGTGTGAGAATATAATATAGCATTATAGTAATGCTGATTAGTTTTTCTTTACCTACACTAGTTTCTGTTTATTACCAGTAATTTTCTCCTTCGTGGAAGTAACAATTGCAACTACGTAGTAGACATGCATCATCTCAACTCTGACAAAGGTCAGTCTTGAAATGACGCTTACTTTATGGTGTAAAATTTATACTTCTTTTTCCGTTTAGTACATGTCTCGCTGACCATTGTTTTTTTCCCTCTCCTTCCACATTCCTCACCTAACGTTTCTTTGAAATATGTACTGAAATCTC